AAGACAGCCAAAATAGACTGTTCACAGGCAGTCTGGGTAATTCAGTGAAACCCTGTCTCAAAATCAAAAGCAAAGAGTGGAGGGTGTGGCCCAGAGTCTACGCAGAGCCTAGGAACCCCAGTGAGGATGGGGGACTATTGCTTAGGAGTGGAGCCCCTGCCTAAAATCCCCCAGTGAATCTGGGATGTGGCCAGGGACAGAGTGCATGCATTACAGGGGCTCAGTCCTGAGTGCTAGAAAACCAAAATTTGCCAAAATTGAGGCCTGTAAGATGGTTCTGTGGGTTGTGTTGTCAACCTGATGGCCTGAGAACCCTTTTGGTAAAAAGAGAGATCCAACCCCTGCAAATTGTTCTCTGACCTCAACAGGCATACTTTAATCATACACGCCCTTGTACATACATACACACGTAAATGTAGTAAAAATTACTCTAAAACTCACAGAGTCCTGCAGAACTCTGTGAACAAAATGGAAAATAAAGTCTGCAGGTTGTCAGTGCAGCAAAGCAGAAGACCATACTTGTGCTTTTACCAGGCCCAGTCCAGAGACTGCAGGCTGGGCATGCCATCATCTCCTGGGAGCCATCCATCCTGTCTTTGGCCAGGTCTGGGCCACATGGTCATGCTGCCCAATGACTAACAAGGATGACTGATGACGCTGTGATCCATTTTAATTAATAAGGACTCGCCTTTGTCCCTGAGGACAGGACCTGCTTTCTGTAATAGACATGGCTGCCTGATTGCCTTAAAAAATTGGATCCCCTGAGTTGGAGAGATGGCTCACTGCTTAACAATACACACAGATTTTGCAGAGGACCTGAATTCAGGTCCTAGCACTCACATCAAGTGGCTCACAATTGTAAGAGCTATAGTGCCATCTTCTGGCCTCTGTGGGTATATGCACCCGCATGTGCATACCCACACACAGAGATAGACATATGGATAATTTAAAGTAGACCTGTTTCTGTTTTAAGATTGTGTTCCTTATAGGGCAGGAGAAAGCTGCTATGGGAAGGGACCTGCATGAAGATGCAAACAAGAAGGGCCTGAAACTTAGGTGGGTAAACTTGGACTTTGCTCACGGGTGGTGTTGATTTAAGTTAGGGAGAGACACTGTGGAGTCCTCAGGCTGGGCCTTGGTTCTGAGTCTCACTTCTCCTTCCTCCCTTGAGGGGGAAGGCCTTATGTTCTCATTTCCAGAGTGTGGGGCCTGGAACATCCTGCAGAGAGCCACAACCCACATCCTGAGCAGAAGTGAGCGCACCACAGCTCCCTAGAATCCTAAGAACCCACTACTCTGTGCCCTTAAGACTCCATTTGAATAAAATGCAAAACAATTCTTTGGAAATGCTGCAGAAAATTACTAGATACTAACTTCAACTTATGGAGAAGGAGTTCAGACACAGCTGAATTCAGGACTTCGGCCCCTACTGGCTCTGAGTCTTGCCTGGATGGTGTTCTCAGTCCATTGCCAGGAGCAACCTGCAGCTGTGTGCTCAGCCCTTCCAGCCTAAGAGAGAAGGGCCAGGCCCAGACTGAAAAGGAAAATGTAAGAGCAGGTCTCGTGTAGCCCAGCTTGACCTTGAACTCAAACATCTGAGGGAGGCTGATGGTGGACTCCTGAGTTCCCTGTTTCCACTTCCTGAAGGCTGGTATAACAGGTGTGCAGGGATGGAACCCAGGGCTTCCTGCCACTCTCACATCTGAGCTGTATATGACCCTGTTTGTGTGTGTGTGTGTGTGTGTGTGTGTGTGTGTGTGTGTTTTGAGATGGTCTCACTATGTAATTATGACTGGCCGGCCATAATTTTATGTACACCAGGTTGGCCTTGAACTCACAGAGATTAAAGGTATGTGCCACCACACCTGACTGGCCCTGTTTTTTGAGTCAGGGTCTTCCAATGCAGACCAGGCTAACTTGTCTTCCTCCTGCCTCAGCCTGAGATAGATGCATGCATATCATCACACCTAAGGCTTTGAAGGTCCTTAACATGACAGTTTCTTATAACTAGAGAAAGGGACAGATCCCCAGGCTCTGGGTTAGGGACCTGGATAACTAGAGGCCATTGTCTAATCTGTTCCACTTAAACTGTCCTATGTCAGCCTCCAGGTACCTGAACAGATCCTTTCTTTGTACCTCGTTGTAGCAGAGTGGTGTTGAGTCCCAGACCAGCTTGAGCTACAGAGCAAGACTTTATATCAAGAGGTGAAGGCTAGAGATGAGGCTGAGCCGCAGAATGCTTGGCACCCATGGAAAAGGCTGGGTGTTGTGGCTCTAATCCAGTGCTAGGGAGGTAGACACAGGAGGTTCACTGGGGCTTGCTGGCCAGCACGTCTAGAGTCACTGAGAGACCCCATTTCAAAATGTAAGGTGGAGAGCAATCGGGTGTGGGCCCCTGGCCTCTGGCCTCACACAGAAACACGTACACCCAAATCTCTTCTCAGCCAGATCTGACCTCTCTGTCAGCCTCAAGCATGGCCTCATGCTCCAGGCACTTGTAGCTGTCAGGGCTAATGGCCTGTCATTTCCTCTGAGCTCCTGGGTCTGGGGAAGAGGGAAGCCCGGGAAGTTGAGCGGATATCAGGGGTGTGAGCCCATAACTCCTGACTCTCAGGGCTGTGCGGTAGGAAGTGGGCAGCGGGAGAGAGAAGGCTGAGTTGGGGACAGGTGCCAAGGGTGTCCCTGAGGAACTCATGGGTTCCCAGCCCGTGGGAGCAGGACAGAGAGGGGACTTGAACCCATGCCAACAACACAATGGCCTTTTGATTCACCAGGCCCAGGCCACAGCAGTACAGCATGAGGGGTCAGGCCTCGGCCAAGGTCAGTGCTGTCCACCCCCTCCACTCCCTCCTGCAGGCTCTTGGTGAGAACACAGGGTCCTGTGCCCTCCTCCAACCTAGGAGCATCCTTGGGCGACAGCCAGGGATCAGGGTCAGGTCATCCTCCTTCACTGGCACTGGATAACTGTGATTTCTGCAGTCGATGGATCTGCTGGGACTTGACTGTGTGACGCCAAGAATTGGGGGGGAAGATGTCAGCAGAAGGGGTCTGGAGTGGATATAAGGGCTAGGGAGGGTGGTCTCAGGAAATCCAGTGCTCCCTACTGCATCACCTCCCATATTTTTCCAGTTATAAATAGGTCTACATGTATATTTTTAAAATATGTTATATGTGTGGTTGTTTCCCCAGCACGTCTGTGCAGTAACCTGAGGAAGCCAAAAGAGGCCGACAGATCCTCTGCAACTGGAGTTCTAGACAGTTATGTGGGTGCTGGAAACTGAACCCCAGTTCTCTGGATGAGCCCTTAACTGCTGAGTCACCTCTCCAGCCCCTTATTTATGTATTTTGTCTAAACCATGAGCTGGGTGAGGACAGAAGTAGATGAGCCTTGGTCATTGGCATTCCCCAACACATGGCTTGTCCACTAATTCTCTCCAGTCCACAAGGGACTACATAGGACCCAAGGATGTTTCTAGAAACGATGACCTACCTGCTTTGGAGACCCCCAGGTGGGAGGTTCTGGGTCTAAGAGTGAAGTCCCCAGACCCATTGCCAGTGTTGCCCTCACTGTGGAATGCGCTGTCTCAGCCATGCCAGTCCTACGGCTCCTAAGGTTTATCTGTGCCAAAAGCTGGCTGTTATGGCTGGGACAGAGGGCAGAAAATGTCTCCCAACCACCTCTCCCTTCTGAGCCAGATTTTGTTGTACTGGTTACTTGAGGCAGGGTCTCACCATGTAGCTCTTGCTGTCCCGGAACTTACTTTGTAGACCAGGCTGGCCTTGAACTCATAGAGATCTGCCTGCCCCTGCCTCCCGAGTGCCAGGATCTAGGTGTAGCTCACCAAGCCAAGCTGCTCAGCCACCCTGACTGTTTCTGAGACAGACTCTGGCCTGGAACTCCCTATGTAGACAGGCTGACCTGATCTTGCCCCCGAAGCCCTCCTGTGTGCTGAGATTCTGGAGTGTGCCTCCTGCCTGATGACGTTTTTTCTTGGGTGTGCGAGGGCACGTGTGCGAGGGCACGTGTGCGAGGGCACGTGTGCACACGTGTGCCCACAGAGGCCAGTGGACATCCGGTGTCACTGTCCGGCACTCTTGGCCTTAATCCTTTTGAGACAAGAGTCCCTCAGTGAAATTGGAGCTAGGCTGGCCAACAAGCCCCAGCAATCCTCCTGTCTCCACCCCCTCAGTTCAGGGATTACAGGCCCTCCTGCCCCACACTATCCATTTTTACACGGGTGCTGGAGATTTGAACTCAGGTCCTGTGTATGCAGCAGTCATTCTTAACTCCTGAGCTATCTTCTAAACCCTGGGTTTGGTTTGGCTTGGTTATCCTTTTTGAGTAAGGGTCTCAAGTAGCTAGCTTGGAATTCCCTATGTAACTGAGAAGGACCTTGATCCTCCAGCCTTCATTCACCTCCTGAGCGCTGGAATGACAAGTGTGCCTGATGGTGCCACAGACTCCAGGGCCCTGTGCACGCTGGGTGAGCACTGCACTCACTGAGCTAGCTCTAGACCTCAGCTTCAGTTTGACCCACAGCTGGCCTCAGCCTCCCAACAATCCTCCTGCTTCAGCCTCCCAACTGCCACAGTGATAGGTATGATGAGCCTTTAAATAGCTTGGAGCAGCTCTGGGCAACCGTGGGTAGTGTCAGGGTGAAGGTCAGGCTGGAGGCTGAAGAGAGCAGATGGCAACCCTGACGTCATGCTCAGCCCAGGCTTCCGGACACTCCAGGTGTGTCCTCTCACCTGCGCCCCAGAGATCCCCGAAGGAACAGGGACTACTTGGAGGTATCCACCCCCCAGAGCGCCCTCCCGGGCACAGTTCTGTGACCCGGCCCATCTGTGGACTGTTCTTCCTAGACAACTGTCTGGTTCCCAGATGGGACGGGGCCTGCCCCCGGTGGCCACCCCCGCGCAGGCCCGGGCCCTGCGCCTCGGGGACACGTCCGTCCCGCCGCGCCCCGCCCCACCCGCCGCCGGCCCCGCCCGCCCTGGCTTTTATAGGCCGAGGCGCCTGCACTCGCGGAGTCCCCGCTGCTGCCCCACACTCGCCATGCGTCCTGGGGCACTGTGGCCGCTGCTTTGGGGAACCCTGGTCTGGGCGGTGGGATCCGTGGGCGCCGTGATAGGCTCGGGGGATTCTGCGCCCGGTGAGTGGGGCTGGGCGGAAGGGGCGGGCGAGCGGGCCACCCACGTGGCCTGCGGAATGCGGCAGGGGGTTTTCTGGGGTGCGCCCTGGCTGGGTGGGCGACTGCGGGGCTCCACGCCTCCAGCCTTAAGAGAGGGCTGACATTTACTGGTTGTTTACCTGCTTTCCTGTGCGTCCAAAGAACAGCCAAAACTTGTGGGTACTTTTTCCATTCCCGTTTTTAGGATGGGTAAACTGAGGCTCGGGGTCACGTGTGGCACTGTGGGTAGCTCCTTAGGCCCTAGGGAGACATCTCTGGGTGGCTGGACCTGCTACTGTCATTTGGGCGGAGGGCTTCAGGATTCCCTAGATGGAATGTCTCAGTTGGAATGGTGTACCTGCATCTGGCTGGGAGAGCTCTAGCCTCAGTTTCCCGTTTTGTAAAGTGTTTGCTGAGGTGCTGGGTCCCAGTTCGTGGAACGCTTTCAGCAGTGCCTCCAGAGGAGGGATGAATTCTGATACGGGGGATGCGGCTGTCCCCATTTAAGGGTGAAGAAAGCCCAGGATTCTGTGTTCTACCCCTACCCCCGCCCCGCAGGGCTGCTGGCCTCCAAGGGAGCCGAGCCCCCTCCCCTAGGGCCGCGTCCCCTGTCCCCATCCCAGGGGAGTGAGCTCACGCAGAGGGAATGTTCCCCAGTTGGAGTGAGTAAGAGGCGGGTCAGGCGAGGGGGGGCTGCAGGCCGGGGGCTCGGCTGCCCTGGGCACTGTCTAGACAGAGGGCAGAGGCGGGAAGCCAGTGCAGGCCCACAGACCCTCACATGCCGAGTGCCTGGCATTTGAAGGGGCTGGGCAGGGTGCCAGTTCTCAGGCCTGGAGGCCTGCGGGAACTAGTGGTGGAGCACTGGGGTGCGGCTCAAAGGAGGAGGGTTCCACACAGAGCAGAGCCAGGGCCATAACTGTGGCTTTCTGTCTCTTCTACCGAGTACAGGGCACAGGGCATCCATGATGGCTATGGACATCTCTGAATTGGAGGGGACATTAGGTCTGGGCTGTTGGGGTTGGTCAGGAGTTTGCTACACAGGGCACATGTACAGGGTACTTCTTAGGTGGAGATTGGGGTGTAAAGCCACCCTCTTCCTCTTCCACTCAGGTGGCGTGTGCTGGCTCCAGCAGGGCCTGGAGGCCACCTGCAGCCTGCTGTTGAAGACGGATGTCAGCCGGGAGGAGTGCTGCGCTTCAGGCAACATCAACACAGCCTGGTCCAACTTCACCCACCCGGGCAATAAAATCAGCCTGCTGGGGTTCCTGGGCCTCGTCCAGTGCCTCCCATGCAAAGGTGAGGCGTGGGGGCTCCTGACGGTGGGCGGGACACTGGGGAGAGGACCCCCTAGCCTGCATCCTGCCTCCCTGGTGGAGAGGAACTTAACCTTAAATCCTGGCACCCAGTCCACCGTCCCCACATGGAGCCTTGACTACCCCCAGCCTTACACACTTAGGATACCTGGGTATCTGAGCTTTCCTCAGAGCAATGCCACCCCCGTCCCGACTGAGAACAGAATGAGGAACAGTGCAGCCACCCTCTGCCTTGGGGGAAGCGTTCGTGGAGGGCACCCTGGCCTCTCTGTGGTCAGGGCCAAGCCAGCAAGCACCCAGAGAAAGCAGTGGGGGTGGGAGGGATCTGGAGGAATGGGCATTAGATCTAGGGTATTGGGAGATGATTAGGAGTCTGCTAGGTGGAACCCATAGGGAAGAGTGCGCTGGGTCTGGGGCGAGTCTCTAGGAGTGTGGGGTGCCATCAGGCAGCTTTTCCAGGAGGAGGCCAGACAGGGCCACAAACCCTCCCTCATCAGCCTTTGGGACAGGGTTAGCCTCCTAATGCCCCTCCTCCAGATCTCACCCATGACCTGAGCATGAGGGCCTGACTGCCCTCACCAGCCTCCTCTGGCCCTGGGAACTGGGGACAGGAATTTGCCCCCTTCCCTTTTCGTTGATTTCCTGAAGCTGGCCGGAGGGCCAGTTCCAGAAGTATAGTAGGTGGGCCCTGTAGGGGCGCCCAGGTGTAACCCTGTAATGCGAGTCTCCCCAGGCCCCAGCCCGAGAGTTCAGGACCCGCTCTCCACACCCAGGAGCCGCTGAGCTGGGAGAAGGCTGTCCATGCTGAGTCTAGCATGAAGTGCTCAAGCTAGGATGTTTTGGGACCCCTGGAACTCACAGCTGTAAACAACCTCAGTTTCCCCGTCTGTAAAATGGTGGCTGCACGAGATAATAAAGGGACACATAGCCAGAGTGGTGGTGCAGATCCACATTCCCAACCTTGGGGAAGGAGAGGCAGGATGAGCAGCAGTTTAGGGCCAGCTGGACAATAAGCAAGTCTGAGGCTAGCCTTGGCTACTTGAGACCCTGTCTCAAAATAACAAATGAAGAGTGTGGGGCTAGGTGGAAATTCCAACACAAGACTTCGTCAAGTCGAGCCTCAGTTTCCTCACCTGAGACAGGAAGATGTGCGGGCGGAATCCCTCCCCCATGCCTTTTTGGGGAGGTCCTAGTGGAAACTGTCAATACACGTGCACCCATTAATCGTGCATCACGGTGCGCCTGGACCCTAGTGACACATGGGAACCCCACTTGCCCGTGTCCTGTGTCCTCAGATTCCTGTGACGGAGTGGAGTGCGGCCCCGGCAAGGCGTGTCGCATGCTGGGGGGCCGTCCACACTGCGAGTGCGCACCCGATTGCGCGGGCCTTCTCGTGGGCTTCCAGGTCTGCGGCTCTGATGGCGCCACCTACCGGGACGAGTGCGAGCTGCGCGCCGCACGCTGCCGCGGACACCCGGACCTGCGCGTCATGTACCGTGGCCGCTGCCAAAGTACGAGCCGTGGCCGTGGAGGGGCGGGTCCGAGGGGGCGGGGCCATGGAAGATGCAGACAGGACCTGAGGGGCGGGGCTGGGAACCGAGGGCGGGGGAGGCACCCTCAGGACTGGGGGAGACAGATGGAGGGGTGCAGCCTAGAGAGGGCAGGCCTGACAACTGAAGGGTGGGACCTACCGGAGGTACGGTCAAGCAGGGGCGGTGCCTTGAGTGGGAAGAGAGATGTGCTCCGGCTAGGGCAGGGCCCGGAGGGGGCGGGACTTAGGCCTGGGGGTGGGGGAAGGACCTTGGTGGGGGCGGGGCCCGCACAAGTCCAGGCCAAACGTTGGTAAGAGGTCTCTGTCCAGTTGCTGCCTAAGTCCTGCACCCAGCCTCAGGGAGGGGCAGGGCTATGCAAAACTGCAGGTCAGGTCAGGTAGGTGCCAGAGTCGGCAGGCTTCAGAGATTGAGCCCCCAGACGGCCGACAGCTCTCGGGCGTGTCCAGGGGCAGGGCTGTGAGTGGCAGGCAGCACGTAGCGTTTCGAATCCCTGAGGGCCAGCGTGCCCTTACAAGTGCTGACGCGAGCGCTAGAGGCCGCGCGGCGCAGGAGGAGGCCTGTGAGGGACCGGGAAGGAAGAAATGCTGGTGTAGCCATGCAGGCAACCTGCTAGGTGGCGTTTGGTAGAGTGGGGCTCGGTTTGACAGCTGGGTGGGGCTGTTGTCCTGGGGGCGGGGCTTGCCTCCGAAGGGTGGGGCTTGACAGGGACAGCTGGAGAGCTTGACAGAGATGAGTTGGGTTTGCGTCTGCGTTTTCGTTCTGGGGGGATGCGTCTTGACAGCAGGTTGGGGCTAGTGTCCTAGGCCGGGGCTCCAAGAGTGGTGGTGCGTTTAATACCCCGGGAGCGGGGCTTTCAGGTGGAGCCCTTGTCTGAGGGTAGCTGGACTCACAGGGAGGAGCCGCAGGCAGCTGACCTGCCCTTTCTCGGGCCTACAGAGTCCTGCGCTCATGTAGTGTGCCCGAGCCCCCAATCGTGCCTCGTGGATCAGACCGGCAGCGCGCACTGCGTGGTGTGTCGCGCTGCGCCCTGCCCGGTGCCTTCCAACCCGGGCCAGGAGCTCTGTGGCAACAACAACGTTACCTACATCTCCTCCTGTCACCTGCGCCAGGCCACCTGCTTCCTGGGCCGCTCCATTGGAGTTCGCCACCCAGGTGTCTGCACAGGTAAGGAGAGGGTGGCTTTCGGCATGTGGGCCAGCAAGGGGCGGTGTGCCACCCACGCTCACTCTCACCTGTCCCTCCTTCCTGTAGGTGCCCCCAAAGTACCACCAGAGGAGGAAGAGAACTTCGTGTGAGCTGCAGCCGCCGGGCCCGGTATTTGAGCCCGTCCCAATTCTATTTATTGTCACAGAAAAGATTCTAATTTATGTCACGTGGACATTCCCCAAACCTGGCCTGGAACCACCTGGGGGTCCCCTAGGATCCTGAGCACATATCACAAGGACTGAAGGAAGATTTTGGAAGAGTTGGTATGTGCCATCACCAGGAACTGGGATCCCAGGACCCCAGACACCTGCTGCCCAGGGAGAGCAGCATGGTGGAAGCCTTCTGCTCTGACCTCTCCCTCTGCTTTCCAGGCTGGAGCAGTCTCAGGGCACAGCCGATGGTAGTGTGCCCGCCTCGACTACTGTTCGAACAGGGCCTCCTGGCCTCATTCCAGGGGCGGGCAGCATCAGCCCAGAGAGGCGCTGGGTTCCTCCCCGTTCACTGCATTTAGAGTGGGACCTGGTGGAAACGCGGTGTCCTGGCTGTGCCCAGAGCATCCCAGAGTCACCCTAGTGCCTCCTGCCCTGTTCCCTGGACACCCACACCAGCTTTTACCTAGTTTCCAGCCACCCCCAGCCATCACCAAGCCTAGCCATGCGTTGTGACACCAGTCAGGTGCTGTTTGGGGCCTGACCTTAAAACTGCTCACCCTTCACTCTGACAGCAGCCACTCAAAGTTAACCACATGTGCCTTCCAGGAGACCAAAGGAAGGGGAGCTGTAGGCCAACAGGGGGAGGGGTTCCCTAGCACCCACATAAAATAGACGGATTGACACCAGCCTGCCATCCAGCACAGGAAGACTAGGCAAGGGGATGAGGAGTTCAAGTTCATTCTTGGCCATACAGTGAGTTCACGGCCAGCCTGGGTTATAAGAGACCTTATCTCTCAAAACAAACAAACAAACAAACAAAAAAAACCTAAAAAGGAGCCAGGCACAGTGTCACACATGTATGGTCCCAGTACTCAGGAGACAGAGGCAGGTAGATCTCTGTGAGTCTGAGGCCAGCCCGATCTACAAAGCGAGTCCAGGACAGCCAAGGCTACACAGAGAAACCCTGTCTGAAAAGCAAGCAAGCAAACAAAAAACTTAAAAAGAAAGACAAAATGTTAGGCCACAAGCAAAAGACCATGGGAGGGTTCACAGCCCCCAGTCTGGGGTGGAGGAGTTTGCAGGGTTTCCCTATCACCCTCCAGTCCTCAGTCGTGCCTTTCTTGTAATGTCTCCAAAAGTACCCTCAGCAGGGAGCTAAGGCAGCCTCTCCCACCCTGGGGCCCTGTCTCACCAAGGAAATAAAAGATGATGAAACCCACCATGGGTGACCAGCCTCCAGCCGTTTCCTCCCTCTGAGCCTGGGGACAGATACGGGACATGTTCATGGGTCCCTGGAAAGCATAAAGGCAAATGGAGCGGAGGGAGAGGAAGTGGGCCCTTCTGGGCTCCTGGAGGTACAGGAGCAAGATGGCACTAGGACGGCAGCTTGTCCAGAGCGCAGCAGTCAAGGTTTGAACTGAAACCAGGAGGAATGGTGGTTGAAACCATGATCAATGTGCTGAGACAACTTCAAGCTAGGAGGGCAGGCTAAGCCGCAGTTCCAGGAACAGAGATACACTTTTCCCCTCACTGTATGTATTAGTTCCTGACTATGTGCTAGTGGGGTTAGTCTGTGACCCATAAAGAGACAGGGCAAGTGCCCAGGAACCACTTGACCTCAGGAGGGAGCATTGTAGGGGGTCTTGGCTGAGAGGGTGAGTGTGTGGTAAGGGGGCTCCTGAGGTGGAGCACACATCAAGCCATAAGCCACGTGCCAGCCTTCAGTAGAGCTGTTCATTCAGCATGGAGCCTGCAGCCCAAGTTCTCAGGATCTAGGGCCAAGCCATGGACTATTCCAGACATGAGCCAGTGGGCACAGGTTGCCGGTCAGCTCTGTCCCAGCAGGGGGCTGAGAGTCAAACAGCCCTCACAGATCATTCCGCAGAACCAGGGGAGGAACTTCCCCGAACCACATCCCAGATCCAGGGCACAAATGCTGACACTTGAGTGTAGACATCCGGGGTCTTGGGGTCACCACACCAGAGGCCTGAGAAAGAGGCAAGGCCGTGGGCCCGGCTTCCACAGACCAATGGCCCCCCAGAGTCTGCCTGGAATGAAAAAGAGTTGACGTTAAGTATTGCTCTTGGGGTCTGTGTGCCCCAAAGGAGTCTCTTGGAAGCAGACAGCGCTGTGGTCTTTGAGCAGTCCACAGCTTGTGTAGCTCTGTCCAGCAACTCCCTGGCGTGGCCCGCCAAGATGTTTTCCTCAGGTCTCAGCTCCTGGCCTCTCTTTTCAGTTTCCTCAGTATCCACCCTAAAATCCCCAATGACTGGTCTCACTGCCATAATTTTGCTATTTAGAATCGTATTTTAGGAGCCCGAGCTGCAGAGCGTGTCTGTTTTCCTGCCCCCTATGGACATGCCTCATTTGTTTAAGTATACATCCCCAGGACATTTCTGTCCAGGGTACAGCCTGCAGAAATGAAAGCAACTCTCTATGGCTCTCAACCACCCCTCTCCTCCCTGGGCCTCAGTTTCTCCATCTAATCGAACATTAGTGGGACCCTATTTCCAACCCTGACCCCTTTTGTGGGCCTCGGTTTTCCCATATGGCAAGCAAGCTTTGTGTGTGGACTCGTACCCAGCAGAAACCACGCCACCGGCGGTCCCCGCTCTGGGTGCAGAGCATGGCGGGACTCAGCAGGCCTTGCCAGGAGCTGTTGCAGATGCTCAGGTCCAGTACTCGCACATCTGCTTCCATCAGGCCGGGGGGAGGAGCCTCGGAGTCAGACACGAAGCCCCAGCCGGATACGTGGCAACGCGTGCCTGCTGAGGGTGGCCTGGCACCTCTCCGTGGCAATCGCAATGGCCTCACAGCAGGGCCCAGGACAGCAGAGCCATTCAGCTGAGAGGAGAATGCTGGATTCAGCACCACCCACTCTCTCACCCCGCTCATGGCCCTCTCCCACCTTCGTGCCCCTTCAGGGACAGCAGGGTGTGGATTGTGCCAAGAATCAATGCAGTTAGGGTCTGCTCACCTTCAGACCCTTTGCTTCCTGCCCACCAGGCAGCTCCATCGGGGACCAGGGATCACCTCTCAGCTTGCTCCTCCTCGAGTCTAAGCTCCCCCATAAATCCCATTGTCCTTGGGGTGAAGGCTCCTGGCCCACCTCTCCAAGCCCTGTGAGCATTCCCCAGCTGGGAGTACCTTCCCATTCAACCTCAGCTCCTCCTCAGGAGACCCCCCAAAGTCTGCAGTACAAACAGGCACCTTGAGTCTGCTGGGCACCCCGCTAACAGTGGGGCTCTGTAGGGTGGCTGCTTGGGGCCTCCACCAACTTTCCTGCCACTCAGCTGGAGGGTGTGAAAAAAAAAAACCAATCAGAACCCACAGAGAGGACTGGCACATCTAGCTGTACCTTCACCTCAGTTTCCCCATTTCCCAGCCTCAGTTTCCCCACCTGTACTGGAGGTCAGGTGACTCTAGGGAGACCCACCCTCAGCCTCTGGCTGTGGAAACCCTCATTCTCTCCCCTTTTGTCCAAAGAAACCACCACACCCTGAAGCCCACAGTAGGTGGAGAGCTTTCGAAGGTGCCTATAAGGCCAGTTCTAAGACCTGCCCTTCAGGGACAGTATCCGGGAGCTCGTGGCTTGATTTCTGTTCTGAAAGAGGTGGGAGCCATGGAGGGTTCTGGGCAGTAGAGACATGACAGGATTCAGGGGTTCAATTTCAAACAGAATTCAGGGACCCCAGGCATGAGCTAATGGCAGAGCCCTTTCCTCGCAAGCAGGAAAAGAATTCAGGCTGGGCGTGGGGACACAGGGCTTTACTTCCGGCAAAGGCAAGTGGAGCTCTGGGACTCTGAGGCCAGCCTGGTCTATAGAGCAAGTTCCAGGCCAGTGAGGGCTACATAGTGAGACCCTGTCTCGGAGAAAAGAAAGAGTTCATCCCCAGCCCCACAAGGAAATGAAATGAATAAACTAAGAAGTCAGGTGGGCCGGACCGGCGCCCACCCCGCTGCAGCTCACCTGTAGCAGACAGATGTCGTTGGCCTGTGTGGCAGGCTGGAAGCTGGGGTGCCTGGCAACAGCTGCAATGCTAAATACCTGTTGTGTGGGCTCCGGGCTGAGCAGGGCGTGGGCCCCGAGCACCACCAGGCTGGTGGAGGGGTCCCTGCATGGAGATAACAAGAGGAAGCTCACAAAGAGTGCGCTGTAGCCAGGAGCTACCCAGGCCCTCCACTCTCCACCATCTCCAGGCCTGCAGCCCTCCTCCACCACAGCAAGCTCCAGTCCTTGCAATATTAACTCACAGCTCTAACACTACACTTAAACTGAACGCAATACAGCCTTATGTGTTATAATTCCTACTTCCATGATATTATTTTGTAGTATTGCGTATGAAACTAAAAGCTTCAAGCTTCTAGCTAGGCAAGTGTTCTACCCCTGCCCCTCACTGTAGGATTCTAGACAGAGGCTCCACCCCTGACCACGCCCCAGCCCCTCACTGAGGGAGTCTATGTGGGGCTCTACCCTGAGCCAACTCCAGCCCCTGACTAGGCAGGGGCTCTACTGTTCAACTACAATCCTACAGCTTTATCTATCTATCTATCTATCTATCTATCTATCTATCTATCTATCTTTCTATCTTTCTATCTTTCTATGGTAGCGGCAGGGTTCCATTCTGCAACTAAAGCCGAGCTTCAATTCTCCATCCTCCTGACTCAGCCTTCTGGCTAACTGGAATTTTTAGTCTGTCCTGCCATTCCCAGCAGTAACTCGAGTGCTAACAGTAACATACTTTGCTTGTGTTTACGGTGATCATAGTTATAATGTTTGATTGTTATCACCAGAAGCTCGGGGGTGGGGGGTGGGGTTGGTCCTGCCTGTGTCACATCCTGGCTTCCTGCTGGCCCTAAGTTTGTTCCTCAGTGGCCCTAGCATGTCACCTGTCCCTGAAGCAATGGGCAGCTGACACCACCCAGCGGGCACTGAGCAGGAAGCCTCCGCAGTGGTGATGGCCCTCGAAGCTCACAGAGACCATGTAGGGCCGGGAATGTGGAATCACCTCATGACCTCCAACAATCTGGGATCCGAAGCAACCTGGGGTAGAGGTGGCTATGAGAGACCAGGACCGATGGAGAACAGCTCTGGTGGGGAGCAGGGTGGAGACCGGACTGAGAGGAAGGGGTAAACGTTGAGGGAGGCACTCGGAGCAGAGGCAGGAGGATTTCTGTGAGTTTAAGGTCAGCCTGGTTGACAGCAAAGACAGACTGATGAATAGACAGACAGACAGACAGATAGATGATAGAAAGGAACAGAGCAAGAATAAGAGAACCTCTAAGCCAGAGCGATGGCTCAGTAAGGCACTTGCTACCAAGCTTGATTACCTGAGTTCAATAGCAGGGACCTATATGGTAGCAGGGCAGAAGTGACTCCTGCAAGTTTTCCACTGGCTGTGACAAGTCACAGACTTGGGTCCTCTCAAAATAAATAAATGTAATTAAAAAAGAAAGCAGGGTGCTCGGATAAGTGGCCCATTACTTAAAACCCTTGGCTGGTCTTGCAGAGGACTCAGATCCTAACCCCAGCACCTACATCATTGCTCACAACCCTCTGTAAGTTCTGAAGGATCTCCCTCTGGCCCCATCAGGCACTGCGTGCACCACACAGGCAGGCAGGCACGCAGGCAAAACCCACATACACACGAAAACCCACACTCCACAATCTGTACCTGGGGCTGAGATCCCTGCTGAGCTCTGCCACTCAACCCACAGCCTCTGGGTCGGCAGTTAGATTAGGTGTGGGTCCTGATCAGGAGCCTGGAGTCACCAAGGGTCACCTTGGGTAGCGTTATAACGGCAGTCTGGAGTTCTTACCAGGGGACCCCACGAGCTGGGTCAGGGCAGCCGCCACCGTCAGCAGCAGGCAGTCCCAACCTCCTGTCCTGGGCACCATGGCTGCAGCAGGATGGCGTCTCCCTGGCAATTTCCACAGGTGCAGCAGGCACCCTCACCAACGGTCCAGCCCAGAAAGTCGGAATGGCTGTGGTCTGTGGTCAGGAGGTGGAGCAGATGATTCTGGGAAACAGGGAAGGCGATTCTATTGTTTCTTGTCCCCAAGAGTGCCAAGTGCCGCTCATGAAAGTCCAGAAGCTTAGAACCAAGATCATTTTATGAGCTCAAACTCACCCAACACCTTTCTACTAGTTTATCTGGCCCCTCCCAGGCTAGACACATGTACTGCCCCTCAAACCATCTCAGGGACAGTCACCAACTCTGCTTATCTCTCTGTCCCTGGCCAGGTAGCCCCAGGCAAGCACCTTGACCCTTGATCTCAGTTTCCCCACCATGAACCTCAGGTTTGTGAGGCAAGCTGGTTCTTTGGAGTGCTCTGGGCTTGGCTGCCTTTGTCACATTTATTGAGCTCCTACTTCATTGAAAAATAAACTGGGGAAATGGCAGAGAGTGACCCTGAGGTCTGGAGTTTATAGACCACCCAGGAGGATATGTGCTGGGCTTGGGCTTCTTTAATGGTGGGGACCTTGGGGAGAGAAAGTGCCGACAGGTTCTCATGTAGCCCAGGCTGGTCTCAAATTCAATATGCACCCTAAAATAGCTATTCGACTGAGAATAGCCTTGAACTCCTGATTCTCCTGCCTTCACCTTCCAAGTGCTGGTCTCAAAAGTGTTGGCTACCATGGCCCCAAGAAGGATGGGGACTTCAGCCTCCATAGGTTATGGGATAGAGTCCAGAGCACACATTGGCTGGGCTTGCACTGGTCTGTATTTGGTGCCCAATGTTGCAGCTTTGGCCTCGCTGCAGCGTGGTGGCTCAGTTGGCCTGTAGAATCTACCCCTGGGCAGATGCAGCTGTTGGGGCCTTAAGAGCAGGAGGAGACAGAGGAGACTGGGTGAACTCAGGATACACAATGGTGCTCAGGACTGTGATGTCTGCATGCAGCTCCAGGAGGAGGGAGGGCGCAGGGTCAGCAAGGCTACCCCACAGGAGTGGGCACTGTTGCCTTGACTACCTCTGTCCCAAGGAGCTCATTCCAACCACCTCGAGGATGCAGGATGGAGCTCTGTACCATGGCCCCTGGAGGGAGCCTCAGGGAGGGGAGTAGTGACCAGAAGACAGAATGTGAGGGGTGGAGGTGGAGGGAGAGACCCCAGAACTTGGGAGGCAGAGACATGTGTGTCTCTGTGAGTTTGAGGCCAGCCTGAACTACAGAGTGAGTTCCAGGAAATCCTGGGCTACACAGAGAAACTGTCAAGAAAGAAAGAAAGAAAGAAAGAAAGAAAGAAAGAAAGAAAGAAAGAAAGGAAGGAAGAAAGACAGACACAGCCAAGGGAATGGTGCAGGCTGCAGGCTCAGAGCCCTGCTTCTCCATTTCCTTCCGCTTTGGTGAACAGTTGTGAAACACAATCATCTTGTGCTCACCTCAACTGCCGAGCTCATGGTAGCCCTCCAGAATCCTGTACAGTCTTGAGAAACCCAGGAGGCCTCCTGCCTTTATTCTGGGGCATTTAGGGACCCTGTGAGAATTGGGGCTGGGGAGCGAAAGAAAGGTTCCCAAATCTCCAAGTCCTCCTGATACACTATTGGGGTTATATTTTTATTTTCATATTTTATTTGCTTATTAATTAATTTACTGATTGATTTTTGTGTGTGTTTTTGAGACAGAGTCACCTACTAATGCATAAAGAGGCAGAGTGAAGGAATGTCGGCAGCAATGACGTAGAGAAAGGAACGCTGTGCAAAGCTTGGACCTGCATCAGCTTCATCTCCAGCAGCCTCGCCACTGACACCATTGCTCCTCCATTTTCTCTGTTTTTTTAGACAAGGACTCATGTAGCCCAGGCTGCTCTCAAGCTTACTACGTAACTAAGGATAACCTTGTACCTTGCCCCTCCACTTCCTGATTGCTGGGGTGACAGGTTTGCGCCACCAGATTGGCTCACTTCGGTTCTGTTTGTTTTGTTGTGGTTTTAATTTTTAAAACTTTCCATAAATTTATAAATAAAAAAGTCATGCAGTGGTGACACACGCTTTTAATCCCAGCACCTGGGGAGGCAGAGGCAGGCAGATTGCTGAGTTTGAGGGCAGCCTGGGCTACAAAGTGAGTGCAGGACGGCCAGGGCTACATGGAGAAAACCTGTTTCAAAAAACAAATATAATTTTTTGGTCTTACTATGTAGCCCAGGCTGGCCTGGCACTTGTGGTGACCTTACCTCACTACAGGAAGAGAAGGTGCATATCACCATGCCCAACTCCCATATTCCTTACTTTTCTAATATTTTTTTTTGCATGTATGCATGCTTCTGTGTGCAGGTGGGAGTAGAGCGTAAGGGCCAGAGAGCATTTTTTTTTTTCTTTTGAGACAGGATCTCTCTGTGTAGCCTTGACTATCCTGGACTTGGCTTTGTAGACCAGGCTGGTCTCGAACTCACAGAGATCCACCTGCTCAGAGTGCTGAAATTGCAGGCATGCACCATGGTGCCTGGATCACTAATTCTCTTTAGACTGAAAAGACAGAGGCCCAGGAACAACAAAGACGCCAGCTGACAGTTTGAGCACCTAAAGCAGGCTGAGCAAAAAACAGCATACAGCCTGTCTTTGTCAATAAAGTTGTATTGACACACAGCATCTAGTTTATCAGTGTTGATAAAGGTTTATTGACACACAGCCACTCTCGAATGGCTCTTCTAGCCCATACGTCGTCCAGCTCCTTTGGTCTTCATGATAAAGGACAGTCCTTGCAACACAAACCATCTGGCCAACGACGCTGACAGTGCTCACTATCTCGCCTAATCTGAAAAGTTCATGGGACCCTCTGAGGGTCCAGGTGAGATGACCCTGCTGACCCTCCAGCAGCCTGAGGAGGAGGGACAGACAGCAAGGTGAGAAAGGCCGAGACACAGCTACAGAATCACACACTCCTGCGCGGTGAGCCCAGATCCAAACTCAGGGGAGATAGACAGGTGTGGTGGTGCAGGCCTGGCTGAAACAAAGGCATTTCTGGGAGGTTTAGGCCAACCTAGTCTACATAGTGGGACCCTGTCAAAAGCACACAAAAGCAAGGTGGATGGCTCCTGAGGAAGGCAGCTGAGGGGTCCTTGGACCTGCGCAAACACTCAAGGGAGCACTCACACTCCACAGAAACAAACCAAGCCACCATGACAACTACTCTCTCACGGAAGGGAGTTTTGTGACTCACCTCAAGGCCCAGTGTACAACTGTCTAGGGCCAAGGGGCTGCAGCCCAGGTAAGAAACACAGGAAGTCGCATGGTGCATCCTCTGGGGGAGAGAGGCCATGTGTGTTTCTTACTGTGGCTCTGCAGTGCCCTGGGAACAAAGTCTGAGTTCACCTGCTGCCCCTTTGCTCACTTGGACAGCACCGTGGGGCTAACTAAACTCCTGAGTTCAATAGAGCATATCCAGCCTTTAGCCCAGGCTGGGCCTCCTGAGGGAGATGAGCCCCTCAGCAATTGCTGCTGCGGTTATCCCGCGGCTCCGGGCCCCCACTTAGGGCCCTGAGCTGTATCTGGACTCCTTTCTTCCCACGGAGAGCTCAGAATAACTGGGTCCGGGGTCTGGGCGATGCTTTGGGGTGCAGCTGCGCGCGGTGCGGGGAGCCTGCGGCCGGCAGGAGGCGCGCGCGGGCGCGCGGGGTGCAGGGAGCGCGCAGAGGCGGCGCGCGCACGAGCCCACCCGGCCGCGCCCGGACAATACCCGGCGCGTTGGGGACGATGCCCGCGCCGGTGCCGCCCCCGCGCCGCGCAGTCCTGGCCGCCAGGCCCTAGAGTCGGCCCTGCCCCGCGCTGCACCGCCCACGGACCTCGCGGGAGATGGAGTGAGTACCCGGCCGCGCACGCTCGGTCGCCCCAGGCCCCCAACGGGAGACCCAGAGGCGACGCGGGGAGACCGTCCCCAGTTGCAAAGGGAAAGGATCAAGCTGGGCCGTGCGCTCCAGGCCTGGTTCCAATCAAGCTGGGAGGCGGGGGGGACACCCGGGTTGCACCCACACATCGCTTGCAGGATGCAAAGGCAAGGGGCCCACGCGCGCACGACCCTTCATCCAAGCTGGGCCACCTGTGGGTGGGCGACCCCCGAGAGCCTGTAGGACCTCGGGAGTAGTGGGACCCCTCCTCAAGAGGCAGGATGCTCCCCCGCCTCCCCTCCCCCAGCTTCGGCTTGCTGCTCCTGGCGCTTCTGTCGGTCCCTCCTGCTCTCTGCCCTCCTCGTGGCCTCCCCGGGGTCCGCAGCCTCCTGGCCAAACCAATTCCGGCCCATTAGATGTCCTGAGTTGCCACTGGCTGGAGAGAGAGATCTCCTCGAGAGCTAGGCGGGCGGTTCCCTGTCAGAAGCTTTAATCTGCTTTCCCCCTTTCCCTTAACGAGTGTCCCCTCCCCCTCCCCAGAAAGAGGGGAGACCAGATGGTGTGACTCAAAGGGGTGGCAGGTTCAGGTGGAAAACGATGCTGGTACCCAGTTCCCAAACCTAGTGTGGTGTGAGCTGGGGTATGTGTGGGTCTGAGAGGCGACGGGGCAGTCCATTTCCTGCACAGATTCAGGCATGCAGCCCGCTCGGGGCAATGTGAGGTTGTCTGTCCCCTCAAGCCCCTTACTCCCACAGGTGGGAAGGAAAGGTGGTCGAAGGGTGCTTGACAGGCCTGGGGGTGAAGTCATAAACCTGCCTGCTTGGTGACTGGGGGCACCCAGAGGGCTCCCCTGTCCCTTCCCCAGCCAGGGCTGGGACAGAGAAGTCCGGCCAGCCCGGCTTGGCTGGTGGCCTCTCCCCCTGCCCTTCCCTCTCTGGGTGTGTTTTGTGCAAGACAACTTTCCTCTTGGGATTAACCCGTGACCCGCCACACCCTCCGATGGGTGGGAGCTGTCACATCCTTCCCTGGCCAAGAAGGCTGACACCCAGCCCAGTGTCCTTTACTTCAGAAAACCCAGACAAAGGCCTGGCTGCTCCCCCACCCCGCCCCGGGAGCCCAGCCAGGGGCTCAGGGGAGCCAGGGCCTGCACTTGCCTGCCCATCCCCTGGCTTGTTTATCTGTTCCTCTGGCCTGGCCCAAGGGAGCCTCTGACTGCTCAGCCAGCCTCCCCTTCGGGTGTGGCTGTGGTCAGGGGGCTGCATTGACAGGGGAAAGCCTCCCTCCCACGCCTCTATTGCTTCCTTCTTTCCCAGTGGGGATCCTAAAGCTCAGAGGGTAGGAGATGCCCCCCCTACCCCGGGCCACACAGCACACCCGCAGTCCTAGGTCATGCCAGAGGTTGGCCCCATGTGGCTGTGGGTTTGGGGGGAAGCTCTCATTGGTTTCTCTGGCCCAGGCCAGTCTTGGACATCTGACTCTCCATCACAGCCCTTTTCTACAAGGGCTAAACTCACTCCTTTGATGAACTTCACGACCCTAAACATTCCAGGTGGTTGCAAAGGCTAGGGGACAGGACAGCAGGAGCTACACAGAGAAACCCTGTTTCAGAAAACCAAAAAGAGAGAAATTGAGAGAGAGAGAGAGAGAGAGAGAGAGAGAGAGCTTACTGCTCTTGCTAAGGACCCGGGTTTGGTTCCCAGCACCCACATGGTGGTCTGAAACCTCCTCTAATTCTAGATCCAGGGGATCCGACACCCTCTTCTGGCCACCACAGGCAATGCACGCATGTGCACAAACCTCCACACACAGGCTGGAAAAACTAAATTTATTTATTTATTTATTTGTTTATTTATTTATTTATTTATTTAGCCATTTAAAGACCTGATAAAAAATTGCTTTTGAAGACAGACACCAGGGACCAGGAAGCTGTGGCAGCCCTCCTGCCTCGGCCCCCTGGAGTGCTGGGGTGACAAGTATGAGCTACCAGAATGGAGCTGCCTGGATCTTAAACCCCTCCCACCCACCCCACCCACCCTGCCTCCCCCTCCCCTCCCTCAGGCCTGTCAGCTCTTGGTGTCTGCCCTGATAATGGAATTTCGGGGCAAGCTTTGGTTTTCTTTGTATTTATTTGGTTGCTGCTCTTGTAAACTCTAGCTAATGTGTCTGCCTGGGTAACTCTGCAATGTTTTTCTCCAGGATAAGGGAGTTTGGTTTGAAATGTAAGGGCTTTTTTTCTTTTCTTCCTTTTTTATTGAATTATTTGTGTGGGAGTGTGGGAGAGGGTGTGGGCAACGCTGTGGCACAGGCGTGAGAGTCTAACTTTCAGAGCCGGTTCTCTCGTTCCACCATGTGGGTTCTGAGGATCGAACTCAGGGCATCAGGCTCGGCAGCAAGCCCTTTTACCCACTAAGCCATCTCACCGCCCCCTGAAATGTGAGTTAAGGAATTTGCAGGTGGGCTGGCCAGCCTCAAAACAGGGAAGGTAGCTGGAGAAATGTGAGTATAATTTATTCATGGAGACACTTTCATTGTTGTTTTTAGTTTGTTATTATATTATTCATTATTGGGGACGTGACAGGCGTCTAGAGGTCAAAGGAAGACTTGTAGATCATTCTGTGTGTCCAACGTGTGGGTCCCAGGAACTGAACTGAGGGCCTCAGGTTTCCTCCTGAGCCATCTCATCAGCCTTGTCCTTGCTGCCTATGGTTGTTCTTTGTTTTTTGAGACATCTAGCCCAGAGTGGCCTCAGACCCACTACATAGCTGAGGAAGACTTCAGTCTCTTAATTCCCCTCCTCAGCTTTCCGATTTATCACCACACCCAGATTTTTTTTCCTCCAAGGCAGGCTTTTACTGTGACCTCTTGCCTCCGTCTCGGTCTAGGAAAGTTTTGTTTGTTTGTTTTGTTTTATTTTAGTCCATTGCACCCTGAGCCTTTCCTGTAAAGGATTCTCCAGGACCTGCCATGCGATCAGGCGCACCTGCTGGCCAGGCTGGTGCATGCAGAGCAGGCTTGGGGAGCCGGCTTTCTGTGGTTTGTGCCTGGGTTCCCAACCCTGCAGGCTGCAGAGTTGAGGAATGAGGGCATGGTGGGGTGAGGCAGAGGAGGGCAGGCTGGACTGGAGATGCCTTGGGAGCCAGAGATGTCTGGGCCCACATCAGGCTGCAGAAGGCCATCTGTCTCCTGGAGGTTTCCAAGCAAGAAACTCGGGGCAGCCAGACTGAGCTTGAATCAGACGAGTTATGGAGGATCCCAAGCCTGGGCCTGGATGACTAGGAGAAAGCAGATCTGTGGAGCCAGCTGGGTAGGAATAGCTGTGGAGGGCGTGGCCAGGCCTGGGTGCCGAGGAGACAGAGAAGGCAAGATGGAGGTCTGGGGGACCAGCGAGCATGGTGGCTGGAGTAGTGATCCCACTGCAGGGAGATGAGATTATGTCCTTTGTCCTTTGCTCTTGCGAATTTGTTTGTTTGTTGTTGTTTGGTTGACGTTCTTGTTTTGAGACAAGGTCCCTCTATACCCTGGCTGTCCTGGTACTCGATATATAGACCAGGCTGGCCTCAAACTCACAGCCTCTGCTTCTCCAGCGCTAGGATTACAGGCGTGCACCATCACCGCCCGGCTTCTGCTTTATTCTACTTTATTCTTTGAGACAGCCTCTCTCACTGGGCTGCAACTCAGTGGTTAACGGTGCATTGACTGGCCAATGTGCTCCGGGGATCCTTCCCAGGTCTGGGATGGCAAGCCTGAGCCACTGTGCCCGTGTTTTTACGTGGATGCTGGGGATTTGAACTCAGAGCTTCATGGTTGTGCAGCAAGCACTTTCCACCCCACTTTGTCCATTTGTGTTTATATTCTCTGTCCATAAGAAGTGTCAGGGCAGGATCAGGAGGGTGGGTGGGGAGCCCAGCGTCTCTTTGGCTTGGTCCTTGCAAGAAAGATGGCTTTGTATCCATAAATGAGTTCATAAGCACATGGTTATATTAGTGAGCTGTGCCATGGCTGGGAAAAGCAGTTTAGAGGAGGGTACAGCAGCAGGAGTGTGAGCCCACAGTCAGGAAGCAGAGAGGGGTGACCCCAGCCGGAGTGATGAGGCCACCACAGCCAGGGCTGCTCTTCCCACATCGAGTCAGCCCAGCGGAGAGACGGGTGGAGGCCTGGCTCCTGGTGGATTCTACCGTCACAGCCGGGTTCACCCTATTCAAAGGATTTGTCGAAGTTTTGTTCATTTGTTGTTTTAGGGAGAGAGTCTTACTGTGTATTCCTGGCTGGGCTGGAACTCACAGAGCTCCACCTGCCTCTGCCTCCCAAGTGCTAGGACTGAAGGTGTGCATTACGATGCAGTTTTGTTTGTTTGTTTGTTTTTTACTGATGTATTTATTCTTATTCTGTGTGCATTGGTGTTTTGCCTGCATATATGTCTGGATCACCTGGCACTGGAGTTAGAGGCAGGTGTGAGCTGCATGTGGGGGCTGAGAATTGAACCTGGATCCTCTGGAAGAGCAGACAGTGCTTTTTTTTTTTTAAGATTTACTTATTTATTTTATGTATATGAGTGCTCCTCTGCCTGTATGCCTGCAGGCCAGAAGAGGGCACCAGATCTCATTACAGGTGGTTGTGAGCCACCATGTGGATGCTGGGAATTGAACTCAGGACCTCTGGAAGAGCAGTCAGCGCTGTTAACCTCTGAACCATCTCTCCAGCCCCAGCCAGTGCTCATTACATAAGGGGCTGGAGAGGCGGCTCAGTGGTTAAGAACTCTAGCACGCACATGGTGGCTTACAACTATCTGTAATTCCTGTTCCAGGGGACCCAGCACCCTCTCTGACCTGTGAGATGCACAGGCAGACAGGCAGGCAAACCGTTCATAGGAATAAAATAAATCTAAAGAATAAATGTGTGTGTCTGTGTTTTTATGTCTGTGTGTGTGTTTGTGTCTGTCTGTCTATGTCTGAATGTGTCTATGTGTGTGTCTG